CTTTTAGATACTCCACAAGATAAAGTTGTTATATCTAAAATACATCTGAGTGAATACATACATTTTGAATTAGAAACACAAATTACTAAAATACTTTCGCACTTTCCAGTTGCGTCTCTCCCGAATCAAATAGAAATTGATTTCAATACTGATGGGTGTAGTTTAGATAAATCAGGAAGCGTGCAAATTTGGTCGATTCAATGTAAGCTTACGAATATGAAACACAAACCTATAATAGTAGGAATATACAAAGGCTCTGCGAAACCATACGATCAAAATGTATTTTTTGAACAGTTCATTGCAAATATTAACAGAATATTGATTAATGGAGGTATAAATATTAGTGGAAAGAAAATGCCCATACATCTAAGATGTTTTATAACTGATGCACCAACGCGTGCTTTTATTATTAATTATAGAGGCCATATGTCTGGTCAACCTTGCTCAAAATGTAAAATCTCTGGTGTTCGATGTGAAGGACGTAATATCTTTTTGGCTGTCAATCATTCTCTACGGACTGATGAGGAATATGTTAGGTATTTGGATGAAAATCACCATAAAGATGACAAAAGTTCTTTATCAGCATTACCGATAGGGATGGTTTCGCAAATACCTTTTGGATACATGCATCTCGTATTGTTAGGTGTTATGAAACAGTTATTCTCCACATGGGTGTACGGAAAATATTCGCTTATCAAAATTATCTGCAAGATCAATTTCTATTATATTAGGTGTTGGAATTAATTCGTAGCGTTTTTTAATGAAAGAATGTTATTTATTTCACATGAGCATTAAAAAATACATTAATGAAAGTACTTCCCATCACTTGTAAAACGCTACGAATTAATTCCAACACCTAATATCAACACGAGAAGCACTCGCAGAATATTGTTCATCTAATTTTGCAAAGCGTCCTAAATCATTCATTACGTGCACAAAATATAAAGCCATAGAATATCGCCAATTTCTTCTCTATACTGATCCAGTAGTAACACATGGCATTCTTGATGAATTAGCGTATACACACTTTTTGTTTTTGCGTGCTACTATAAGGATTTTAGTTTCTGTATCTCCATCAAAAGCATATCTAAGCTTTGCAGATCTTACATTACAAAAATTTGTAGAAAGATGTCAAGATCTTTACGGTTCGACTTTTTATTCTTATAATGTACATGGCTTAAATCATTTAACTGATGATGTGCAACAGTTAGATCCTCTTGATATATTCTCTGCTTTTCCATATGAAAATAACATGAATGTTTTTAGAAAATATTGCAGGAAACCCGATCTTTGTTTTCAGCAAGTTTATAGATTTGCAGAAATAGAAGCCCATTCCACAATTGAAAATCGTAGTATGAATTCTTCTACTCATGTATCTATATAGCATAATGCAGGTCCTCTTCCATCTAATCTTCTTTCTAATTGTTCTCAGTAAGATCAGGTTTAACGAAATTTTATTTACCTTAAACATGCGTAATAATTGTTGTATTTTACATGATATGTCCGTTTGCATTTTTATCAATATTATTATGATTGAATTTATTGATTCATATTATTTGATATTAAAAAAGTTTCTTGAAGTAAAGAATTTTTATGATGTTGATATATCATCATTAGCATTACACATTTTTAAATGTTCCTCATTGAGCAATAGTATTATTACTATTGACATAGAAGAAGTTTGTTTAAAGAGCTACAGAATGTGTTATCCCTTTTTGGGATTAAGATGTCCGCTTTTTGTTATATTACAACAAAACGTTCCAGCAATATTGCAATGTAATGTGTTTGGATAAATTTTTTTAAACGAAGACTCTAAAGTGAAAACTATTTCTATACATATATCTCACTAACTTTAATTTTTCTACAAATTGCATTCTAGTGATATGTACTTTCCAAAAACAATTTTTTATAAAACCATAAAATATTCCAATAAAACTAGTATTAATTCTGAAGGATAAATTTATTCATAAGGATAAAGCATGTATGTGTGTGCCCCGAACAAACTACACAAATATTATCCACATTAATATAATAATACAGTCGCTTAGTAAGTTAATCATAGATTAAGTTAATCGCAGTGATTCTTTTTAATTCGAAACCACTTCGAGTCAATTGAAATCGATTAAAAAATGACGGTATGAAATTTATCAATACAGTTCGGGCGCTGGTTTATTCTTGTGTTCACATCAAGCATAAATACATCATCGATCACATGATTAATATTTCGATAAATCGTTTTCAGCAGCTTAATTGCTTATCATCTTATCATCTATCTCCAATAATGATGCATTGATTGTATCCAAACTCGATATTATACAATTTTTTTATTTCATATTTAAAATAAATATAAAACTTAGCTAATGAAATGGCCATCAAATAATAGATCAATAAATTTTTATTTAAATATAAAATAAATTATATTATTATATCATAAAATCGACTGTTAAACTAAAAGACTATACTATATAAATATTGTAAAAACTTATATTTTTATATTATTATTATTGTAACAATTAAAGAATTAGTTTTGCAATATTTGTGGAATATTATTATACAAGCATATTACTAACATTTTGCTATATTGTTAATTTACATTTCTGTAATATCTCTGCAACACATCTCTGTTACATTGCAATCTGTAATATTGCAACATTGCAGCAATATTGCTTCAATCTTCTGTGCTGTGGGTGAACAGTCGAGTTAATATATTAAATTTAAGTCTGTTGTTTTTATCAAGATTGAGAAGTAATGCGTTACTTATAACTTTATTACCGTTTTCATTACTTTTTTCGCGTTATTTTTATGAAATAATGTTCTCCTGGTTTTCACATATTAATAATATTTATTTAATATCTATCTTTTATTACAGGAAAAGGGAGCGAAAAATATCATGCAACCAACGAGATACAAAAGTACTTCCTCGGATGAGGTTTCTGCAATAAAAGTAGTGAATAAAGCAAAGTAATAATGCAAAAAATAATTGAAAATGATATAAATCTATTGAAACAGAGAGTTAATCAGAATCCTGCGAGAAATAATCATAATTATTATTTGTCCTGTAATGATGGTATACAGACGCTTCCAACCACTTCTATTCCGAGTGCACAAACGCTTCCAATCACTTCTATTCAGAATTCACAGACACTTTCAACTTCTATTCAGAATTTACAGATGTTTCTAACTACTTCTATTCAAAATGTACAGACGCTTCCGACTACTTCTATTCAGAATGTACAGACATTTCCAATCACTTCTATTCAAAATGTACAGACGCTTCTGACCACTTCTATTCAAAATGTATAGACGCTTCCGACTACTTCTATTTATATACAATATATATCACACATGACTCCATCACAGATAAAACAAACAATTTCAACTCACAGATAGAACAAACGCTGTTGCGAGTTTTAGAAATGAAAATTATAACATACCAATTGACTTTGAAACTCACATGTATCCGCAGAGTAATGAAATTGATTATGTAGAATAGCAATTACAATTTCACAATGATACGAATAATCAGTAATTAAAATTATTGATATTTTGTTTCACAAGTTACCCGATAAAAAATTTTTCATGTAAAAAATTATTTATGTATAATTATATATGGATGCATAATTAATAAGGAAATTTTTTAAATATTTTTTCAAATTTATTTTTTTTTTAGTGCAATACGAAAATTATCCCTTTAATTATTTTTTTATGTTTTTACATTTATTATTCAATAACTTTAATCAATAAATTACTATTATTATTTCTACTACTAAAAATTTTTTATCGGATATTGAAGTTAATATCTAGAAAAATTAATATCTAGAGAAATTTTCAGAAAAATACTAAATATTAGACACGCACGATTCGATCTTTTAGAAAACGAAATAAAGTAAGCCTGATATATGACTAATATTTTATTAAATAATATGTACATTGTGTGTATGTGTTTGTATTAGGGTGGATCGATTTTTTTAATCTCTTGTAGATGTATTTTCGGAAAATTGATCTTCAATAATTTTTTACTCAAATATTATCAACTTTACAGAAAAACTGCAAGAGACAAAAATTGTTTATTTTCTTCTTATAGACTCTAAGAATTTTTTCAGAATTTTTAATGCATTTTTTCATTTTTATCAACATGAGAAAATACAGTATTAAAAAATTCTGAAAAAATTTGCAAAGTTCTGAGAAGAACTTAAAGAGAATTTAAATGAGAAGAAAATAAACAATTTTCGTCTCTTGCAGTTTTTCTGTAAAGAAGCATTTGAGTAAAAAATTATTTAAGACCAATTTTAAGGCAATTTTTAGTAATTAATATCTTGTTAATTATTGCGAAAACTGCAAAATAGTATAGAACTTTTCGACTCAGTTTAGTTCACTCTATCTACACAAAAGCGATTGGCAAAAACTTTCGAGACCCCCTGTATATGCGCGCTCTACTGGCCTTACAGTATGCCATTCGGTCACCCCAATTATTAATGACATTTTGGACTATTGTTTTTCAAAGCTGGAATTGTCTCACACTTTGGGCCACAGCCTCAATATTCTCGGGTGTGCGCACTGTCCGAGCTCTGGGACCACTTCTGTCATCCACTAACATCCCTTTCTCACGAACTTTCCTCACCAATTTGCGTATAGCTCCTTCGGTGCTCCATATTTCTTTTCAAAATTCGTACAGTTTCGGCGACACAGCACTGACTTTGAAAATAAGTTTTTAAAATTTCAAAACGCTCTTCAAGAGAAAACATGTTGTTTCGTGCCGCGGACGGTATGACTAATAAACTGTCAAAATTTCGGGTCTGTAGCTCGTTCGGTGTTGCCATACGACGAAATTCAAAAACGTACCAATAGATGGCCCACCCTATATATATTTACATTGCTTACAGAAAAATGAATAAATTGGATCATATTGACAGAGCTGTTCAAAGAAAAATTGACACCGAGTACAAGAAAAGCCGATACTTTTATCAATTAGTAGGCAGATATGATATTCGAAAATGTGGATGAAGAATCATATAAAGAAGTGGTAAATTGAAGCAAAAATAATGTGTTACATACAAAATTTTCGACTATGTAAAAAAAAGTTTTTTAGGGGTTTTATTTAGAGGAGATTATTAAAATGTTTCACAATGATTGTGTGTTGAAAAATCCGACAATTATCGGCATGCAATCATATTTGGAACAAAAAATTGATTAAATATATTCGTAACATCTAATTTTGACTGTTCGGCGTTCTTTACTTTATTTGATTTATTCATACACGGTCGTTCTTCTTATAATATATGTAAAAAATATATTACTATGTAAAATATATCACTATGTGATATATATTTGGCATATATTTTCGGCATTATATCTTCAAACTCGCTTCATTGGGCTATCTGCGAATTATTTAAACAAAGAAATTAATTAATTTTATTTGTATTTAGAATATTTTCAGTTATGTAGCGAAACATTAATTTTGTGTTTTTAAAGATTACATTCAGGTTAATCAATATATTTTTTTATTTTCTTACATAGATGAATTATTTTCTACATGTGAGCGGTTGAAGAAGCTGTCAATCTTTTTTTTAAGGAAGCAATGCAGGACAATTTAACTATAAAATTTTTACATGATGGTTTGGCCGGGAGGAAGGTCTACTGTGACCATAGTCCACCAACCTACCTTAGGACTTTGCCTCTAAGATAAGAATAGAAGTGAGACTAGATTCTATTTAGACTCATTTTCGAACCTTATAATGTAACCATAGTCCACCAACCTACCTTAGGACTTTGCCTCTAAGAATAGAAGTGAGACTTTAGAATAAGATTAGACTCTATTGGAACCTTATAAAAGAAAACCCTCAGACTGCAGAGGCAGTCTTCGATATATTGCGAAAGTAGTTACGTCTCTAAAAATTTTCCAAGTGACAATTGTAAAAAAAAGAAAAGAGAATACAATAAAGATAATTTTTTATTTTGAAATTGTTATCACAAATCTTACACTACATCCTTCGTACAATACACATATTATAAAGACGATTTATGGTATGTGACATTTTTATTGTATAACTATATCAATTTTTTTGATAAATTTTAATAAACAGATAAAAAATGAATAAATAAATAAATAAAATAATTAATTAATTAAGGAGATATAAATTATATAAATTATCTCGTTTTATATATAAATAACATAAATATATTGTATATATATTATATATTTAGCTACTTGCTTCACTTGTAATCACAATTTTAACAAATCGACTCGAACGGAGTTTTAAGCAATAACTAGAGAATCTTTGCGTTCAGTGAAACAACGTCATCGCACAAGTATTCGCATACTACGTGATCGAGAGCGTCGAACCGAGAAGCCAGAAATTATTGGAATGAACAAAACGAGTAATATGAACACGTCGAGGAATAAATAGAAGAAGAAGACCCACTATAAATTGATAATTTAACGGACAATTAATATTTTAACGGATTAATAATTTAATGGACTTCCATTTAACGGATTGTATGGAATACATTTTTAATAAAATGTTAACAAATCAATATTAATAAATGTTAATAAATATTAATAAATGTTAATAAATGTTTATTTTTAATAAAATGTTATAAATGCTTAAAAATAAATCAGAATAAGTACTGCGCTTTTTTTAGACATTGAACGATTATTCTAATCGTTCCTTATACTTTTAAACTAATTTATTCTATTCCTCATAAAAAAGATAGGATCTTAAAATTTTCTGATTTTATGTATTATGAATTACACTATCATAATACATAAAGTCAGAAAATTTTAACATCCTATCTTTTTTATGAGGCATAGAATATATTATTTTAAAATAATATTAATTTAAAAATGAGGAGCGATCAGACTAATTGCTTAATGCCTTAAAAAGCGCAATGTTTATTTTTGAGCATTTATATCATTGCGTCGTAACAGTACATTCTGTATGATTTCTGCTATTTCTACCGCTAGTGACTAATTGATAGGTTATGATTTATTTTTACCATATTTCTGATATGATGTCGTAAGAGCACATGTTCGATTTCTGCTGTTTCTGCTACTAGTTTCTGCTACTAGTATGACAGGTCATGTTCTGTTTTTGTCATGTTTCTGCCATCATTATGATGGCAAGATATGCTCCATTTTTGATGCATTTCTGTTGTTATATTATGTTTAGCAAGTCATGATGACAAAAACTAAGCTTAAAGTAGATACAGTGGACAGGAACTTGCTCTACAATTGTGACTGAATTTGTCGATATATTGTTAGCATACTACTAGCATTTTGTTATCTGGGTATATAATATATTTATGTATATATATTATATTATATTATGTATTACATATATTATATATATTACATACAATATATGTATATATATGTCCATATATTTCAAGAATATTCTATTTACATGAATTGAAAATAATATTCGTTGTTAGAATCTTTATAGTCTATACTTTAATAGTAAAATGTTATGGTGAATTGGATCACTCGCACTACACTGGATCAGTGCATATTAAAAACTGCTTTATATATTAATGCAGTGATGCAATATAATCAACTTTGGCAATAAAATGATACACATATATTTTGTTAAATAATGTGTTCTTTAAAATTTTTATTTACTATTATATTTAACTTTACTAATGGCATATAAAGCAGCTATAGTATGCACTAATTTAATTAGTGCAAGTGACCGAATTAGCAACAATTTGCGCGCAAATTGATAGCAAACTCGATTAAATTTTGATTACAAAACTATAGCCATCTGTGTTCGCATTTGGCTATGGATTTGTCGACAAAGCCTGCTGACATGTTTTGCCAGCAGATTGTTGATAAAAATCAAGCAAAGTCTGCTGACATAACCTAACGGCAGATTGGCAGCAAAAACCGAGCAAGATCTTATTTTCATTTCAATCGATCTAGTTTATAAGAAATTTTGCGTACATATATAAACGGTTATATATAATTATACATAATTATATATTGTTTATATATACTGATGTGAAAACTGGAAACAACCACAAATAACAAATATGGAAATACAATTTTATTACTAAAATATTATTGATTATTTTCACATATCAAAAATACACATGAGAAAGTTACAAAATAGTCAAAAAAACATTCGGAGATTCAGAAAACACACTTTGAAGGAACTTGAGAATCTCTAGAAGATTTGCCAATTCGATTTATATACGCCAATTCTTATATCACTCCAAAACGATTTCTTCTTATGAGAAGCAAGTCTATCTCATGGCGATAATGTAAATGAAAATAACAGGTTTTTGATTCTTGCTGTCAATTTGCCATCAGATTATGTCAGCAGACTCTATTCGGTTTCTATCAATTGCCTGGCATAGCATGTCAGCAGGCTTTGTTATATTTTTGACAACGGTTTGCTGACAATGGGTTCAAGACGGCTAAGCATGCTTACTGAGCGATTGAATATGATTGGTTGGATCTATGAGTAACAATCAATTATGCTCATTTGCTCGGTAAGCAGGCTAGCCATTTTGTCAAATTGAATGCACCCAATATCTGGTACAAATACTGTGCACAATTGCCTTTCTGTAATCAGAAATTGATAACAGGTTCAAAATCTGTCTCCACAGGCTTTGCTATCAGCGAAATTTTGCATATGTAATATATAAACGATTACCTATAATTACACATAATTATTATATATATTTATATATACTGCTGTGAAAACTGAAAACAATCAATACAGTTTTATTGCTAAAATATTATTGATTAGCTTTACATTTTAAAATATACATGAGAAAATTATAAAATAGTCAATAAAATATTCGGAGATTTAGAAAGCACTCCGAAGAAGCTTGGGAATCTCTAAAAGGTTTGTCTGTTCGATTTACATGTGTCAATTCTTATAGGACTCCTAGGCGTTTTATTCTTACGAAAAGCAAGTCTCATGGCGAAATCGTATATGAAAATGAGTGAACTTGCTCGGTTTCTGCTGCCAATTTGCCATCAAGTTATGTCAGCAGGCTCTGCTCGGTTTCAGCCGCAATCTGCTGTCAGGTTACGCAGCAGACTCTGGTTCGGTTTTTCTCACCAATTTGCTAACATAGTATCAGCAGGCTTAGCTATATTTTTGACAACAGTTTGCTGACATTATCTGATAGTACTTTGTGTACAATTTGTTGTCTTTCTGGGAATGCCTTCATATTAGGATCTTTTATCTTGTCAAAAATGGCTTTTTGCAAATCTATATTGGATTTTTCTATCATGTTACTCAATCTTTCTGTATACTTAATCCATACACAATTCGTGCATCCTGACATACAACAATTAGTCGGTTCCGTCAAATCATCCACTGAAATTTCTTTTGCATGATCAGTCCGAACCTCGTCATCTTTTCGGATCGATGAATGTCGACGATAATAACAGAAACTTTTACTAATGATTAGCCTTGACCGAAGTATGGCACTCATTTGTTTTAATTCTGTCCAAAATACATGTAGTGCAGAATAGCTATTTTTATAATTAATATTATATTAATAGAAAAAGAATAAATATCACAATCAAAAATAACTGTTTTGTTCCTTTTGCTGATATTTGAAATAAATTCAAGAAAATCTTATTTAATCTATTGTGAAACAGTAATATTTAAGCCCTAGACACAACATGAGGCAACAGTGAGAAGAATAGCGATAGGAATAACAAAGAAATAAGCGATATATAATTGTTGTCTCCCGTTGCACATTGGTTACGTTCAACAGTTGAGTGAGTGCTCGCTGCTATTGATATATTCTTCCAGATCTAAAATGTTAATTGGATGATCTAAAAGAATACACCAATAACAGCGAACGCTCACTCAATTGTTGAGTCCGCTGAACCCAGCCAATACCGCGAAATAAATAAAAATAACCAATCTTGGCCGCGCAAGGCTTAAAAATTATTTCATTTTTGTTATTCGTCAATTGTTAAACAAAGACAAACGATGTTCATGAGCGTTATCAGTACGAATGAACCACGGCCCTGATCTCGTATATAAACTATAGTATATTCTAGTATCACTCTAATAAGAGTCGAGACATAAAGGTACCTACCCATGCAGCGGAATAATGTAACCAATTGCAGTTGGTGCGGAACGCTTGTGATTGATTCCGTTCTCGTTTCACGTTACACTATTCCGCTGCATGAGGTACCCTAGCGGTCCTCTTCATGATTGGCGCTGTCATGTTTCAGTTTATTAATGTGTTAGTATTATTAATGTATTATTAATGTAAGTGAATAGATGAAAGCAATTTTTATAGGTGTAGTACACTTACCAACTAAAAGATTGCAACAGACTTTTTTTTTGCGGTTTTTGGAATGCAGCCTCTTCATCGAGCGATTGGTTTTTACCAACAACTTACATACCTAGACTAAGCATTCCCATGCTTTTTAGTGGTGGAGATTGAAGCCGGAAATTGATAGTTTAGATGGAGCCATGTTATCTTATTTTATGCAGTCTATTTTTCGACTAATCTTTTTGCACTATTCGTCTGCGTCACATTTTCTGCAAGTGTATGACAATTGCCCACGATCCAATTGCGCATAAGCCAATCACAGCGCCAAAAAAAAAACCTAAAACTGTCTGCACAGAAGTCGCTGTAATTAATTGACAGTGAGCAATTGTTACAGTACGCAATTGAACTGTCCCCACTTTCTGCGACTAGTGTTGCCAAGAACACATAACCTTTCTCATATATATTATTCACAAATACAACACATTTTCGTCATGTTGTGTTTCTCTCTTCGTATTGTACTTTAAATCAATGAAATCAATAATATATTGGGTTATCTAGAAAGTATCCGCGGTTTTTTGTCACTAGATGGTGTTGATGGTCAACACATCTAGTGACAAAAAACCGCGGATACTTTTTAGATGACCCAATATATGAAAAAGGTTATGTGTTCTTGGCAGCACTAATCATAGAAAGTGTTGTAGACGAACGGTACGAAAAGATTAGTTGAAAAGAATACACTGCAAGATAAAATGAGATAACATGAGTCCACCTAAACTGTTAATTTTCTGGCTTAAACAGAATGCTTGGTCTATATATGTTGTTGGTTTTTACTTACTGATAAGGGGCACACAATAAAAGGAACAGAGAACAGAGAATAAGAATTTCAACTTATCATAAACTATGTATTCCACAATACATTATTTCTGATAGGTTCCAATTCTTATTCTCTGTTCTCTGTTCCCTGTTCCTTATTTATAATTTCTTATTCTTGCTATTATGCGCCTATATATATGCTATAATCCCCTAAGTAAAAATCAATCACTCGATGAGTAGGCTACCGAAATTCATTTAAAAAAAAGTGTTGCAACTTTTTAGTCGATGAATATACATACCACGTTTGTCAAGATGACGCCAAGGCGGACGTTTTTTCGCTTCGGTCTGAGTTAATTATCTTAAAATAATTATCGCTAGTCTAATTTTGGCCGTATTAGTTTCTTTCTTATTTTTTCGAAAGCAGGGTCTCTATTCTTGAAAAGTATCGCATACGAAAAATTAGGGAAATACTATAGTATGCGTATTACATATACTGCAGCATATCCCTACATAATCCCTAATTTTTTGTATGCAATACTTTTCAAAAATAGTGTCCCTGGTGTCATTTATTAAAGAAAAATCAAGTTTATTCTACAAATAGTCGTAAGCATAGTTGTAAGCGTGGTTGTAGATGTAAGAAGTTGTAATCAAGTCGAATGTAAGGAGAATATTTGATTGACTGTGATTGGTCAATTTTTACAACTACAATCATTTACAACTACGCTTATGACTATTGTAAAATAGGCCTTAAAGAGCGTTTATATTGGCCGTAATTGTATGCCGTAATCTAAAGAAATTGACCAATCGCCTTCAAGTATTCCCTTCTTACCGCTGAATAAGCGAAATATTTGATTAATCTTACGGCATACGGTTACGACCAATATAAACGCTCTTTAAAGAATTATTAGCCGTTTCTGATAAGACTGAAATGTGGCGTCCTTCCAGTGTCTCGACTTATACTAAAGTGACTCTAGTACATTCTTTTATCTGCTTTGATTATAGCATATATATAGGCGCATAATAGCAAGAATAAGAAATTATAAATAAGGAATAATAATTTCAATCTATCAGAAACCGTGTATTCCGATATATCTAATTTCTAATAGGTTAAAATCGTTATTCTTTATTCCTAATTCCTTAGGGTGAAATCACACGGTTCGGAAAAGGGTTGCGGAATAGAGAATGCGTCACTTAAACAATTAATTAGCGCTATTCGGAATAACGCAGAAGAATGCTGATT